AATCAAGATCAAGATTTTTTTTTGTTTTAAAAAAATATTCTACTTATTTATTCTATCCTCAATTTTGTACGTTTGCTCTTCAATTTATAGTCAAGAAATTTTGTTAATTTGGAAATCTATTGTTTTGTTCTCCTTTTTATCTTCAATTTTCTACTTTTGTTCTTCGATTCATGATCATGAAACTCTTTTTTTCTAAAAAATTAGTTTTTTTGTTCTTTATTTTTCCTCAAGTTTCTACTTTTGTTCTTCGATTCATGCCATCAAAATTTTTTTTTTTTTGAAAATCTATTTTTTTATTCTCTTTTCTATCCTCAACTTTCTAATTCTTTTCTGTAAATATTGATCAAACAATTTGTTTGTTCTTCTTTCTATCCTCATTTTTCTACTTTTGCTCTTCAATTTATGGTCAAGAAATTTTGTTAATTTGGAAATCTATTGTTTTGTTTCTTTTTTTCCTTCAATTTTCTACTTTTGTTCTTCGATTCATGATCATGAAACTCTTTTTTTCTAAAAAATTAGTTTTTTTGTTCTTTATTTTTCCTCAAGTTTCTACTTTTGTTCTTCGATTCATGCCATCAAAATTTTTTTTCTTTTGAAAATCTACGTTTTTATTCTCTTTTCCATCCTCAATTTTCAAATTCTTTTCTTCAAATATTGATCAAAAAATTTGTTTGCTCTTTTTTCTATCCTCAATTTTCTACTTTTGCTCTTCAATTTATGGTCAAGAAATTTTGTTAATTTGGAAATCTATTGTTTTGTTCTCTTTTTTATCTTCAATTTTCTACTTTTTTTCTTCGATTCATGATCCTGAAATTCTTTTTTTCTAAAAAATTAGTTTCTTCTTCTTTATTTTTCCTCAATTTTCTACTTTTGTTCTTCGATTCATGTCATCAAAATTTTTTTTTTTTTTTTGAAAATCTATTTTTTCATTCTCCTTTCTATCGTCAATTTTGAATTTCTTTTCTGCAAATCACTATCAGAAATTTGTTTGTTCTTTTTTCTATTCTTGATTTTCTACTGTTGATTATGTAAGAGTTGTGAAAAATAAAAAATTTTTCCTTTACGTTTCACTTTGACAAACACAAGAAATAAAGTGTTACACATTTAAGTTACATAATAAAGTACACAATTTACTTAACAATAGTTTTCAAATCTTTATATGTTTTTAATTTATAGAAGTATAAAAAAGTGCTTTATTTTTGTAAAGAATCACTCAGACGTCATTTATGATGTACGTATAATTCTTGGAAAACAATTGATTGTTATTAGAATTGTACATCTGTGTTTGTTCAAGTGTCAAAAAATTGTTTAAAGAGCTCTGAAATTGTTTCAGAATTCACTAATTTCGAGTAGTATATAAACGACAAATATCGCAAAACTATATATATAGTAATCAAGTATATTCGAAGGACAGTATATAAATAACATATTGTATGCTTAGAAGTATAATATAATATAAAATAATAATTGAAAAATAGAAACAGCAGCAAATTTTGCAACATTGTATACTATAGTACAGAATCATATTCGTATACAGAAAAATTAAACTAAATATACAGAAATTATACTATTAAATTAATTAATACTAATAATTAATAGTATTAATAACTAATTAATACTATTAATAAAAAAAAATTTTAAAAAAAATTAAAAATGTTGAAATTTTACTTGATGTTATTTACCGCAACAGTATTATTGTTTGTGCAACATTGTAATGGTGATTGTTGTCCTAGAAGGCTTGTACATTTTAACGTTGTATATAGAACTTGTGACAAATATGGCGTGCATAAAGTGAAAAAAAGCGATGATAAATACTGCTATCAAGTTGTATGTAACAATGGTTTACCTCCTGATGGCTTCTATTGCGGTGTAGGATCTTGTAACATGTTTGGATGTGACTGTGACTATGGCTGTAAACAAGGAGATCCTGTAAAATTATTTAAAAGACAACATAGATTTTTCGTATCGAATGTTACATTAGTTTCTCATGTTTAAAAAACTGTCTAGTAATTTTGAATATACTTTCAAAAATTATACAAACATTTTTCCATTATTTCCTGCGTATTATTTATTTCAATATTTGTAAAATCAGAATTCTCATCTGTAAAAATAAAATTTTACAAGAGTTTCTCAAATTGTAACTCTTTTTTATTTAACATTAATTTAGTAATTATGCATATAATTACCATTAATTTTTATCAACAAATTTAAAAATGTTATAGTTATTAAAACATTTGTTTGTTCCTTCTTCTATCCTCAAATTTTTGTCTTTTGCTCTTTGACTCAAGATCAGGCATTTCTTTACAAATCCAAATCCGCATTTTTCATTAAATTATTTTTAAGTCATTTTTTCCGGGGGGGGGATAAAATTTTTCCTTTACGTTTGACGAATACAAGAAATATAAAAACACAATTATAAGCTACAAAATAAATTACAGAATTCATTTAATATAATAGTTTTGAAATCTTTAGGTGGGGAATAAAAAAAAGTATATGCTCTTGTATAGAATCACTCATACGTTATATTATTACTTACGTAATTCTTAGACAACAATAAAATTGTACATCAATTATTTATTCAAGTGTCGAAAATTGTTTAATGAGCCTTGAAATTGTTTCACAATTTATACTATAATTTCGAGTATAGTATATAAACGCCAAATAACGAAAAATTATTTCTATAAAGAATAATTAAACTTAATATACAAAACTTTTAGAAAACTTATTGGCGAATACTATTTAAATTTTTAATTATAAAAATTTAAATAAATTTTAAAATTTAAATTACAAATTTAAAATTTAAATTACAAATTTAAATAAATTTTAAAATTTAAATTAAAAATCAACAAAGAATGTGGAAATTTTACTTGACTATGGCTGTAAACAAGGAAATTCTGTTAAATTCTTAAAAAAACGATATGGGTCTTTTGTTACCAATGTCACATTAATTTCACAAGTTTAAAAAACTGTTTATAGTAATTCTGATATACTTTCAAAATTGTCCAAAAAATGTTTCCATTATTTCCTGTATAAATTTATTTTAATTTCTAAAATGAGAATTTTCATCTGTAAAAATAAAATTTTATAAGAGTATTTTAATTGTAATTCTTTTAAGCGATAAAGAAAAATGGAGCAATCAAAAAAATTTTAATTTTCTGAGATATTCTACAACTGTGTATATATACAACTATAAAATAAGTGCTTACTTTAAAATTCGAAAAAAATTTTTTTTTTTATTTTATATTTTCATATCGTGAGACGCCACGTGGAGTTGTGAACAAAACAAATAAGTAGTATTTTCTTTTCAATAGAAATTTTTTTCCGTGTATTATGTAATTTTTACAAAACTTTTTATAAATTAATCAACTATAACAATTTTTTTTTTAAATTTCGTTTTACTAAAAACATTTAAAAAATTCTATTATTTCTAAAAATTCCATCTATATAAATGCTGTTAATATTCAATTATAATCTAAAATTTTAATTGAAATTCATTTTTAAATCAATTTTTATTACAAAATTCTACGAGAATTCAATTATTTAAATATAAAAATAGATAATTTATTGAATAATTGAATGTTTCTTAAAATTTAATTCACATAATGGATTTTTTCAACAAATTTTTAAACAATTGAATTATTTTTGACGAATTTTAATAAAATTTCTAAGAACAATGACATATTTCAAGGAATTCGATTAAAATTTTTTTTTAAATAATTGAAATTCTGCAATGAGACTTATGAAAATAATTGAATTCCTAAAAAGAAATTCATTAATCACGAAAATAATTGAATCCCTATAGAAATTTAATTATTTATAAAAATAATTGAATTATTGCGAAGAAATATATAAAAAATTTGTAAATAATTGAATTTTTTTGGGAAATTTTATTTAAATAATAGATAGTGAAAATCATTGAATTGAGGAAAATTTATTGAAAATAATTGAATTTTTGCCAAGAATGTTATCAAAATTTTTTTAAATAATTGAATTATGAAACGAAGAATTTTATTAAAATTTTTAAAAATAATTGAATTCTTGCAACGAATTTTATTAAAATTATCAAAAATCATTGAATTCTTAGGAAGAACTTTATTAAATTTTTTTTAAATAATTCAATTGTAGCGAAGAATTTTATTATATATAATCTTTTAAATAATTTATTTTTTTCGAAAATTTTATTAAAATTTTGTTTTAAAATAATTAAATTCCTGTAAAAATTTAAAATAATTAAACATTTACGTAGAATGTTATTAACATTTTTTTTAAATAATTGAATTCTTTTCGAATATTTTATTAAAATAAATAATGAAAATCATTGAATTGTGGAAACTTTTTGAAAATAATTAGAATTTTGACAAGAATTTTATTAAAATTTTTGAAAATAATTCAGAGAAGTATTAATTAATTAAATATTAACAAATTTAACTAATTTCAGAAGAATTTGAATTATTGAAATTTTTCATCAATCTAAATTCTTTAACATTTCTAATTAAATTCATTCAAAATTGAAATTTTTAAAAAATTTTAATTAAAACCTTTTGAAACTAATCTATTTATGAAAATAAAAGTTCTGGTAGTTTTCGTCATAATTTCTATGAAAAAAATGTTTAATAACAAAAAATTTTGATTTCGAAAATAATATAATGGTACAATTTCTAATAATAATAATATTCGCAAATTATTGAATTTCGAAGTTTTTTTTCTTTTTCAATGTAAAATGTTAAGGAACGAGTAAAACAATCTTAATAGCCCTGAAAAGATAATAAAATTTTTAAGAACTGAAGTATAAGATTAAAATTTATTTTTCTTGTATAAATTTCTTGGCCAAATTATAGCGAACGCAGTCTACACTCTAAAGTTATTCAAAGTTTTATATTTAACATTCAAAGAAGTTGCAAAGAAGTTAAAAAATTCCAATTACCAATTATTGTAATAATAATAATATACCAATTATCGGTAATTTTTTAATTTCTGTAAATATATTAAAATCAGGAAAAAATAAAATATAATAAAAAAAATACGTAAAAAGAGACACAATAAAATATATTTAAAAGTACAGAAATATTTCGAAAATGTTGAAAGTTTACATGATGTTATTTATTGTAACATTTGTATTTTTTACGAATAAGTGCCATGCTGATTGTTGTCCCAGACGAATTTTAAACTTTAAAATTGTTAATACAACTTGTGAAAAATATCGAATGCATAAAGTGAAAAAAAACAATGAAAAATATTGCTATGAAGTTGTATGCAACAATGGTTTACGTCCTTTTGGCTTTTATTGTGGTGCAGGAGCTTGTAACATTTTTGGTTGTAATTGTGACTTTGGCTGTATACAAGGAGATCCTGTGAAGTTATTTCAAAAAAAACATCAAAATTTTATTACTAATGTCACTTTAGTTTTCTTTTAATATTAATTTTCTTTAAATAAAAAAATAATCAACTCTGGTATTGACAATTAATCTTTTAATGAAAATCAAATTTTTTTTTGAATAATTGGATTTGTAAAAAATTGGATTTAGCAAAAAACGAAAAAAGTCCTACAAATTATAAAAATATTTCAAAATTATTCTACCATAGAAATGTTATTATATTACTTTTTTAATTTATAGACAAAATTTGTGCGAAGGATTTATTTTTTCGTAAATATACAAAAATCTGTATATTGTCATTTTGTAATTTTTATTTGTAAAAATAAAAAGTTCAATCAAAAATAAATATATTATTTTTTTGCTTTTCCTCTAGAATTTTTGCATTTAAAATTTTTAATATTAAAAATTTTTCTTCTATGACGTGATTTGTGATTAAAGAAACGAATTTTTCTGCGAGATTGAAATTGTTTATTGATTGTCAAATATTAACAACATTTTTCAAATATTAATAATATTTACACACGACAATATCGAGGATCTCCATTCTTGTTGCACTTGGATTTACCATGATTTAAATGCACTACGCACATGTCTGAAAAAATTTTGTTAAATCTTTTATTTTTCTTTATATCCTATTTATTCAATAAAAATAAAATAATTTTTAATAAAGAATATTTTTCTTATATTATAAAAATTAGGGAACTTTTCTTTACGTACTGTAACATATGTCTTGTAAAAAATCTGTGAAATTTGCCATGTTCAGACATTCGATCAAGAATTTATGACACTTGACTGTAAAAAATATTATCATATTATTTTCTCATTGAAACACAAAATATATTTTACATTATTCCCTATTCATTGTTATTTATATTCATAATTTTAATTTTTTTAAATTTTGTATTCAATTTTAATTATTTAAAAATAATATTATTATAACAATAAATAACATTATTTATGAACTTACCAGCTGCATGATATGGGGAATCATAAGTATCCATTTCAACTGAAATAAAAATTTAGTAAAATATTTTGTTATTGAATTTTTGTATTAATTTAAATTTCTATCAATTTTGTAATACATTTAAAATAATAATTTTTTGTTTACACATAAATAAAGTGTATTAAAAATTAAAAGTAAAATATATAGATGAAAACTTACTGAAATCAAATTCATCGTTTGGATGAGGATCACGACCGTCAACTAAATATTCATTTGGATTCATAAATGAATCAGATAAATAAAAAATTTGGCAAATAATTAATAAATATACAGCAAGATTCAACATATTAAATTTTTAAGTTTTTACGTATATCTTCTTTGAAATTTCATAAGACTCTAAAAACTATTTCACTGCCTGCGACGCATGAAAATGGAAGTCGTGTGTTACAAACATAAAAATGAAGAGTTGGGGGAGGAGTTTTGGTTGGGTAGGGGGTTAAGGCAGGGCTGCCCCCTTAGTCCAATCTTGTTTAATTTGTTAATGGCTGACTTAGAGGAGAAAATGGAAAGAAAAGGTAAAGGGGGAGTGATTCTGGGAAAAAGACGTGTGTATGTACTAGCGTATGCGGATGATGTAGTGTTGATGGCTGAGAATGAAAGAGGGATGAAACTGTTGATGAAAGAATTTGAAGGATACGTCAGAAAGAAAGATTTATGTGTGAATGTGGAGAAGACAAAAGTGGTGAGATTTAGAAGGATAGGGGAGGTGGAGGAGGTGGAATGGAAGCTAAATGGAAGAAGAGTGGAAGAAGTGAATGAGTTTTGTTATCTGGGTTATTGGTTTAATTGGAACGGGGAGCAAGAGTTAAATATTGAAAGAAGAATAGAAAAAGGGGGAAGGGTGATGGGACAGGTATGGGGAATTGGGGAGAGGAGATTTAAGAATGATTGGAAGAAGCGTGTATGGTTGTTTGATGCTTTGGTATGGGCGGTGATTAGTTATGGAGTGGAAGTATGGGGGTGGGGTGAGATTGGAAAGGTTGAAAGTTTGCATGAAAGGTTTTTAAGATGGACTATGGGGGTAGATAGGAATTGTCCGGGATACATGTTAAGGGAGGAATTGGGAAGGGAAAAGGTTGTATTGAGGCAAAGGAAGAGGGCAATGGGATTGGAGGAGAAGTTGGAGCTGGGAAGAGGGAGTGACATCGCGAGAGAGTGTTTGAGGATGGTTAAGAAAGGGAAAGCAATGAGAAGGAAAGATATTCCAAGATGGGAGAGAGAAAGAGGAGATGCGTTGGAGGAGGGAAGGAGATGGGGCGGAAATGAGAGGGAGGTGATGGAGGGTTGGAAGAAAAAGGATGAGAATGAGAGGTGGAGCAGGATAGTGGAGTCAAAATATAATAGATGGTATAGGATGGTGAGGGGAGAGAAGGAGCCGGGGTATTTAGGAAAAATGAAAAAGTATGAAAGTTGGAATAGATTGTGTAGGTTTAGAATGGGTGAAGGAGTGAAAGAGTGTAGGTATTGGATGGATGATGAAGAGAAAATGTGTAGGATGTGTGGGTTTCAGGTAGAAGATTGGAAGCATGTTTTGGAGGAATGTATGGGGGAAATTGAAGTAGGAGGGGTGGAGGGAGGGATGGGGGATAAAATTAAGTGGATTTTGGATGAGAATGGGAAAGGGGAAAAATGGATAGAAAGATTAGAAAGAATGAGAGAAGAGAGAATGTATTAGGGCCGATAAAGGGAGGGGTTTTTTGTATTGGGGTAAGGCAGTAATGCTTAAATATAAAAGGTAGTTTGTAAAGTTTTTAAATTTTGACGAAGCCAAAAAGGGCAAATTGGAACGGGAAACGGAAACCCGGTGCACTGGCGGATTGCGATTAGTAGATATAAGTAGAGCGTATTAAGTTTAGTTGTAAGTGAAAATGTATTTTAGTTTTAAGTAGAGGATGTGTATTAGGGAGTCTCGAACCCTGCGTGAGCAGGGAGAGTAAATAAAGATAATTAATTAACTGAAATAAAAATTTAGTAAAATATTTTGTTATTGAATTTTTGTATTAATTTAAATTTCTATCAATTTTGTAATACATTTAAAATAATAATTTTTTGTTTACACATAAATAAAGTGTATTAAAAATTAAAAGTAAAATATATAGATGAAAACTTACTGAAATCAAATTCATCGTTTGGATGAGGATCACGACCGTCAACTAAATATTCATTTGGATTCATAAATGAATCAGATAAATAAAAAATTTGGCAAATAATTAATAAATATACAGCAAGATTCAACATATTAAATTTTTAAGTTTTTACGTATATCTTCTTTGAAATTTCATAAGACTCTAAAAACTATTTCACTGCCTGCGACGCATGAAAATGGAAGTCGTGTGTTACAAACATAAAAATGAAGTAGATAAAAATGCACTATTTTGTACATATTATGATTTTCTATAAAAAATATTTTAGTAATCAAATCGAAAATTCTTATTATTGATGAAATAATTTTTAAAATAGTAATAATAACATTATTAAAACTATTAATTATTGTAATTAATTACTATAGTTAATATTATTAAATTAATGTTATTAAAATTTTTTTTAAACGTTACTAAATAAAATCAAAACTAATCTAAATTATAAACTTTATTGAAAATCTATTTTTATAATATAACACATAATTGTTGAATGCAAAACAAAAATTCTTCTTTGAATGAAATATTTTTAATAATTTTTTAAAAACTTTTTTTGAAAAATTTCCAATCCATTTGTTTACAATTCAATTTTGCGAACTTTCGATTTAAAGATTTTAATTTAAAACCTTTTCGAAATTCAATGGTTTTTAAAAATTCACGCTATAATGCTCTTAATACTACTTAATTTTCCATTAAAATTAATTAATTAATTAATTAATTAATTAATTAAAAATAAAATTTTAACTGAAAATTATTTTTAAATAAATTTTTATTTAAAAATTCTAAAAAAATTCAATTTTATAAAAACAAAAATACCTAAATAATTTATTGAACATTTTAATATTTCTTAAAATTGAATTCTAATAAAGAATTTTATCAACAAAATTTTAAATAATTGGATTTTTGTGAAGAATTTTAATAAAAATTTTAAAAATAATTACATTTTTCGAGGGATTCGATTAAAATTATTGTATTAGAAAAAATTGAAATTCTGCATTGAGTTTTATTATTTATGAAAATAATTGAATTCTTAAAAACGAATTTTATTAAACTTTTTCAAAATAATTGAATTTAAAAAATTTTTTTTAAATAATTGAATTCTTCTGGAAATTTTTATTAAAATAGTAAATAGTGAAAATCATTCAATTGAGAAATATTTTTAAAAATAATGAAATTTTTAACAAGAATTTCATCAAAATTTTTTTAAATATAACTGAATTGATACCAAGAATTTTATTATTATTTTTAAAAATAATTAAATGCTAGCGAGAAATTTTACTAACATTTTTAAAAGTCATTAAATTTTTACGAAGAACTTTATTAAACGTTTTCTAAATAATTGAATTCCAGTGAAGAATTTTATTATAATTATTTTTAAATTTAAATAATTGAATTTTTTCGAAAAATTTTATGAAAATTGTGTTTTATAATAAATAAATTCATGTAAAAATTTTATTATACTTATAAAAATAATTGAATTCCTAAAAAGAATTTTATTATTTACGAAAATAATTGAATTCCTGTAAAAATTGTATTATTTATGACAATAATGAAATATTTACGTAGAATATTATTAAAAAATTTTAAATATAATTGAATTCTTTTGGAAAGTTTTATTAAAATAGTAGATGTTGAAAATCATAGAATTGAGGAAAATGTTTTTTTAAATAATTGAAATTTTGCCAAGAATTTTAACTAAATTTTATAAAATAATTGTATTGATTCGAATAATTTTATTATAATTTTTAAAAATAATTGAATTCATGGAAAGAATTTTATTAAAATTATCAAAAATGATTAAATTCTTAGGAATAATTTTATTAAATATTTTTTAAATAATTGAATTCCTCTGGTGAATTTTATTATTTATAAAAATAATTGTATTCTTGGGGAGAATTTTATAATTTATGAAAATATTATAGAATTCTTGCAATGAATTTTATTAAAATTTTTCAAAATAATTGAATTTCTCTGGTGAAATTATTTATTAAAATAATTCATGATGAATTAAAATATTTAAACTATTAATTCAAAATGAAAAATGATTAATAAATATAAAATTATAATCGAAAATTAATTCGAGGTGTGAGAAAATAATTATTAAAAAATGAATTCTACAGGTTTGTCGGCGTGTATGTAAAGAAGATTTTAATTTGTTAATTGAAATTATTTATTTATTCTAAATTTTAACACATTTTCTAAATATTAATAATATTTACACACGACAATATCGAGGATCTCCTTGCCTGTTGCAAGAGAATGTATTATCTTCGTTTTCCAATGTGCACATTTCTGAAAAAATTTTGTTAAATCTTTTATTTTTCTTTATATATTTATTCAATAAAAATAAAATAATTATTAATAAAGAATATTTTTCCTATATATTAGAAAAATTAGGGAACTTTTCTTTACGTACGGATACATCTTACTTGTAACACCATCGAAAAATTTGCCATATTTAAACATTCGATGAAGAATTTATGACAATTGTCTGTAAAATATTATCATATATTATTTTGTCATTGAAACACAAAAAATCTTTTACATTATTCTCTATTCATTGTTATTTATATTCATAATTTTAATTTTTATATTTTTATTTAAAATTCTGTATATTATAATTTTTTTAAATTTGTCACTCAATTTTAATTATTTAAGAATAATTCACATTATTTATGAACTTACAAGCTGCATGAAATTGAGTAATATACGTATTCATTCCAACTGAAATAAAAATTTAGTAAAATATTTTGTTATTGAATTTTTGTATTAATTTAAATTTCTATCAATTTTGTAATACATTTAAAATAATAATTTTTTGTTTACACACCTAGACAAATGGTATATTTGTCTCAGAACCAACTAAACTTTTTATTTGTTTGAAATAAATTTTATTTGGTTTAAATAAAATTTTATTTATCTCAAATATATGTTTTATTTGTGTCGAATAAAATTTTTATTTAAAAGAAATAAAAAGTCTAGTTGGTTCTGAGACAAATATACGCTTATTTAACTCAAATAAAATATATTTGGTTTAAATAATATTTTTCTCTGGGTGCACATAAATAAAGTGTATTAAAAATTATAAATGAAATATATAGATGAAAACTTACTGAAATCAAATTCATCGTTTGGATGAGGATCACGACCGTCAACTGAATATTCATTTCGATTCATAAATGAATCAGATAAATAAAAAATTTGGCAAATAATCAATAAATATATAGCGAGATTCAACATATTAACTTTTTATGTATTTCTTCTTTAAAATTTCATAAGACTCTAAAACCTATATCACTTACGTATTTTTTCTTTAAAATTTCATAAGACTGTAGTCTAAATTTGGAAATTAAACAACATGAACTTGCTGCTGGCAGTATAATGTGTTTTGTTTCAAATGTTCTAAAAACTATATTTGGAAATTTTTTTTTTTTTGAAAATTCTGTTTTGGAAAATTTTTTTTTTGGAAAATATAAATTTTGGGAAAATTGGTTACTGGTAAAATTATTTTTGGAAAAAAGAGATTGGGAAAAATAAATTGGTAAAAGTGACCCCCTACCTTTTGTACATATTATGATTATTTCTGAAAAGAATATTTTCGTCATCAAATCTGGTATAGCAATAAACGGAAATTTATCTCATTTTTCCATTTGTCAAAAAGCAAAAAATTTTATCTATAAAATTTTATAAAAAAAATAAAACGAAAATTCTTATTTTTAATTAAATAATTTTTAAAATAGTAATAACAACATTATTATAATTATTAATTATTGTAATTAATTACTATAGTTAATATTATTAAATTGATGTTATTTTAATTTTTTTTAAACTTTACTAAATAAAATCAAAAGTATTCTAAATTATAAACTTAATTAAAATTCTATTTTTATAATAAAACTATTGTTGAATTCAAAACTAAAATTCTTCTTTAAATCAATTATTTTTAATAATTTTTTAAAAACTTCTTTGAGAATTTTCAAATCTATTTATTCACAATTCAATTTTACGAACTTTAGATTATTCGGAAATTCTCTAAATAAATATATAATAGAAAATAAAAACTTTAAATAATTTGTAACAAAAATCAATTAAACTTTTTCAAAAAAATTAATTCCTCAAAATTGTAAGTTAACAGATTGAAAAATTCAGATTATTAAAGAATTTAATTTGTAACCTTTTCAAAATTCAATTATTTCTAAAAATTCCCACTATAATGCTCTTAATACTACTTAATTTTTAATTAAAATTAATTAATTAATTATAAAATTAATTAATTTTAAAAATAATTACAATATGTGATGGATTCGATTAAAATAGAAATTTAATTATTTATAAAAATAATTGAATTATTGCGAAAAAATATATAAAAAATTTGTAAATAATTGAATTCCTGTGAAATATTTATTATTTGTGAAAATAATTAAATTATTGCGCAAAATTTTATTAAAATTTTTTATAACTAATTGAATACTGCTGGAAATTTTATTAAAATAGTAGATATAGTGAAAATCATGGAATTGAGGAATATTTTTAAAAATAGTGAAAATTTTGAAAAGAATTTATAAAAAAAAAATTTTAAATAATTGAATTGATACGAAGAATTTTCTTATTATTTTTAAAAATAATTGAATTCTTGCGAGGAAGTTTATTATCATTTTCAAAAGTCATTAAATTTTTACGAAGAACATTATTAAATTTTTTTTAAGTAATTGAATTCCAGTGAATAATTTTATTATAATCATTTTAAATAATTGATTTTTTCGAAAAATTTTATGAAAATTGTGTTGTAAAATAATTAAATTCATGTAAAAATTTTATTACTTATGAAAATAATTGAATTCCTGAGAAGAATTTTAAAATTTATGAAAATAATTGAATTCTTGGAATGAATTTTATTAAAATTTGTCAAAATAATTGAAGTCCTCTGGTGAAATTTGTTATTTATAAAAATAATTGTAGGTATTCTCAGGAAGAACTATATTAAATTTTTCCTTAAATAATTGAATTCTTGTGAAGAATTTTATAAAAAAAAATGTTTTAAATACAATTTAAAATTGTTATAGAAATATTTGAAATCCTGCTATGTGTTTTATTATTTATGAAAATAATTGAATTCTTAAGAAGAACTTTATTAAATTTTTTAATAATAATTGAATTCCTGAGAAGAATTATATAATTTATGAAAATAATTGAATTCTTGCAACGAATTTTATTAAAATTATCAAAAATCATTGAAGTCCTCTGGTGAATTTTATTATTTATAAAAATAATTGTATTCTTGGGAAAAACTTTGTTAAATTTTTTCTGAAATAATTGAATTCTATCGAAGAATTTTATTATAATCATTTAATAATAATATAATAATAATATAATAATTGTAATCAATTAATTTTTAAAAAAAATATTTTATGAAAATTATGTTTTAAAATAATTAAATTCACGTGAAAATTTTATTATGTATGAGAATAATTGAATTCCTGTAATAAGTTTATTATTTATGAAAATAATTGAATTATTGCGAAGAAATTGATCCTATAAAATATTTAAATAATTAAAAATTGTATGAAAATAAAAAAATAATTGAAATTCTACGATGATTTATTTAATTTATAAAAATAATTGAATTTCTTCCAACGAATTTTATTGTTCATAAAAAAATAATTGAATTTTTGCGAAGAATTTTATAAAATTTTTTTTTTTTTGAAATAATTGAATTATTTTGGAATTTTTTTTATTAAAATAGTAGAGCCCTGAGAATTGAAAGATTTAAACTATTAATTTGAAAATGAAAAATGATGAACGAATATGAAAATAATAATTGAAAATTAGTTCGAGTTGTGAGAAAATAATAATTAAAAAACGAATTCCACAGGTGTGTGTGTGTGTAAAGAAGAAATAAATGAAGAAAGTTTTGTATTGAAAAAAAAAAAGAAATGCGATTTAAAGTTAAAGCTGGTTAAATCCACAAATTAGTGGGTTGTATAGTTTCTTTTGTGGGGTGAAAAGACACGTTTTTGATGCAGAGGGTCGCCCCTCTGAATAGCCTAGATGCTTCCTAATGGTCCAAATGAAGTGTGTACGTTCCGCATATGGAACTAAATGCAATATCATAATAACACTAATTTTTAAGCATAACTATACACTCAGCTTCACAACGTGTGAACGGGAAAGGTTCTCAAAGATCCTGTACACCTTCCTCCTCATCCACTGCACCTTTTGTTATCAGTATATTTAAAAAATATTTATATAAATTTATATTATTTATTAAATTATAAATTAATAAATTTATATTATTTATTAAATTATAAATTAATAGATTTATATTATTTAAATTTAAATTATTTGAATTTAAATTATTTAAATTTTAATTATTCGCAAATTATATTTATACACACATGATACGAAAATTAAAAAAAAAAAAATTTCCGTCTTTCTCTTTTTTCCTAATTAAATATAACTGTCGTCAATTGAAAAGCAAATTTGAAAATGATGTAGGAATTTTTAATTTGTTTTTCTAATATTCAAAGTAGATACACGTAATATTAAGTAAATAATTTTTAATGTTTTTTTATGATTCAAAGTAGATACACGGTATTATAAAGTAAATAATTTTTAATGTATACTTTATGATAAATTATATTTAGATTATAACCCGGAATTAATGTTTCTGCTACTGATAACAAGTGAATATGCATATATAAGGACAGCGTGTTGATGTTCAGAAATTAAAGAAAACTGAAATTTCTTTAAAAAATAATTATCGATTCATATTTTAATATAAAAATAAATAAAAATTTAAAAATGCGTTTTACAATTCTTGCTCTGTTTATTTTCTGTGGTTTCTTTTATTTTTCTGAAGGACAATCTTATGCGTCTGGATTCATAAGGAAGGTTAATAATCGTCCAGGAGCAGGAGGTAATTTTTATTAATAATTATAAATGAAAGAGTTTTTAAAAATATACGATCTTTATAAATTAAATTAATTAATTAATTAATTAAAAAAAAATTTATGATTAATAATAAAGATTAATATAATCGTTTTTTCTTAATTTTCAGTTAAAACTTACCCAGTTCTTAATATTGCAGCCAGTAAGTTGAATAATCAATTAACAATATTTATAATATAAGTATTCTAATAAATTTTAGTAAATTTTAATTAGGAAAAAAATAAAATTCATGAAATAATTTTTTTAAATATCATATTATTGTATTTAATTGAATTTTACATCTGATTTCAATAGCAAATTTTAAGCAAAAATTGTTAAGAACACTTGGATTTGTTTATTGAAATTTTTTTAATTGAATTTTGTCAACAAATAACTATGAAATGTTTTTAAAAAAATTATTTCAAAAAATGTATATTCTTATAAAATTATGACTTTTTAAAATTATTTAATTAATAATTTTACTTAAATATTTCAAAATTAATTGAATTTTCAAAGAGTTGCGTCTACAATTTTCATAAATAGAATATAAAATAGAAATTCAATTATATTCAAAAATTTTTTTTTAAATTCTGATCAAATTTTCAATTATTTTTATAAATAATAAAATTATTCTCCGAAATTCAAATATTTTAAAAAAATTTAAGAAATTTCTTCATAAGAATTGAATGATTTTTGAAAATTTTAATAAAATTCTTTGCAAGAATTCAATTATTTTCATAAATAATAAAATTTTCACAGATATTCATTTATTTAAAACATAATTTTCATAAAAGTTTTAGAAAAAAAATCAATTATTTAAAAATATTTTTATAAAATTCATCGCAAAGAATTCAATTATTTTTATAAATAATAAAATAAAATTCTTCTCAGGAATTCAATTATTTTCAAAAATTTTAATAAAATTCTTCGTATCAATTCAATTATTGTAAATTAAAATTTTCCAAAAGAATTCAATTATTTAAAATAGTTTTAATAAAATTCTACGTAATAATTTAATTATTTACATAAATTTTGATCAAGAATAAAATAATAATTTTATCACTCGATCATCTTTAATTATTATAAAACTTAATTTGGAATTTTTAAAAATCTTAATTCCTATAGAAAAAGTAATAATGAATAAATATTTATTTAAAAATAAAGTTCTTGATGTATTTATTGTATTTAATTTTTAGAAAATTGTTATCCGGGACTGAACCAATGCCTTAGAAATAATCCTTATAATCGTAGATATTGTTATGGTAAGTATTAATATATATATATATATATTTTTTTTTTTATTTAATAATGAAAATAATTTGTTTTTTACTTTCTTTTTCAATCGCTCGTTATTTACTATTATAATATTTTTTTAAAGATTTGTGCGTTCAACATGTAAGTGCATCATATTATCCAACTTACTATCCAGCTTACTTTGTATGCAAAAATAATGTTAAGGAGTGCCGATCTTAAGGACAAAACAAATACTATCGAACCGTGTTAACTATTTTTGTTAATTAATATAAGAATACAAAAAAAAATAAATAAAAGTCCAAAACAATTTTCACTTTTTATTTAAAAATTGTTTGGAATTTCTAATTATTTTGAAAATTTTAGTATATAAAAAAAGAGAATACGAGACACATACTTTAATATTTCTAAACGACAAACTTAAAATAAAATTCTTAGAAACAATTCAATAAATTTTAATACAATTCTTTCACACTATTCAATAATTTTCAAAAACTTCTTCAAAATTCAATTATTTTCAATATCTACGATTTTAATAAAAAAAATTTCCAAAATAATTACCTAAATTATTTCAAAAAACATTTTTTTTTAAAATTCTTTGCAAACATTCAATTATTTTCATAAACAATAGCATTCTCTCAAGAATTCAATTATTTAAATCACAATTTTTATAAATATTTTCGAAAAACTCAATTATTTAAAAAGATTTTTATGAAATTCTTCGCAATAATTCAATTATTTTAAAAGATTTTTATAAAGATCTTTGCAAACATTCAATTATTTTCATAAAGAAAAAAATTTTCGAAATAATTTAATTTTTTTTTATAAACAATAAAATTCGATTTAATAATTTTCATAAATTAAAGAAAATATAGCAGGATTTCAATTATTTTTAATTTTAATACAATTTTTAATTATTTATATATTTTGTATCAATTTCTACGCAATAATTCAATTATTTTCATAAATAATAAAATTATTACAAAGATTCAATTATTTCCATAAATAATAAAATTCTTTTTAAGAATTCAATTATTTTCATAAAGAGTAAAATTCTTTTTAAGAATTCAATTATTTTAAAACACAATTTTCATAAAATTTTTTGAAAAAATCAATTATTTAAAATCATTTTTATAAAAATCTTGGGTAGAATTCAAATATTAAAGAAATCATTTAATAAAGTTCTAATCCAAAAATTAAGTTAGTGTTATAAATAATAAATTTCCCCTGAGGAATTCAATTATTTTGACAAATTTTAATAAAATTCTTCTCAGGATTTCAATTATTTTGAAGGATTTTAGTAAAATTTATAGCAAGAATTCAATTATTTTCATAAATTCACATTGTAGGATTTCAATTATAATAAATACAATTTTTAATTGTATTTAAAAAATTTTTTTTATCAAATTCTTCACAAAAATTCAATTATTTTAAAAAATTTAAGAAATTTCTTCATAAGAATTCAATGATTTTTGAAAATTTTAATAAAATTCTTTGAAAGAATTCAATTATTTTTTTAAAATTTAATAAAGATCTTCCAAAAATTCAATTATTTTGATAAATAATAAAATTTTTTTTAGGAATTCAATTGTTTTCACAAATAATAAAATTTTCACTGGAATTAAATTATTTTAAAACACAATTTTCAAAAAAAAAAATTTTTTAAAATCAATTATTTAAAATGATTTTTATAAAATTCTTAAGTAGAATTAAATTATTTAAGAAAACATTTAATAAAGTCCTTCCCAAGAATTTAATTATTTTTTTAAATAATAAAATTCATTAGAGGAATTCAATTATTTTGACAAATTTTAATAAAATTCATTGCAAGAATTCAATTATTTTCATAAATTATAAAATTTTTCACAAGATTTCAATAATTTAAAAAATATTTAATAAAGTTCTTCCTAAGAATTCGTTGATTTTTTATAATTTTAATAAAATTCGTTGCAAGAATTAAATTATTTTTAAAAATTTTAATAAAATTCTTCGTGACAATACAATTATTTTATAAAATTTTGTTAAAATTCTTGGCAAAATTTCAATTATTTTCAAAATTTTACCTCAATTCAATGATTTTCAATATCTACTATTTAAATAAAATTTTCTTAAAGAATTCAATTATTTATAAAAATTTAATTTAAATTCTACGTAAAAATTTAATATAATTTTCCTAAATAATTAAATTTTTACAGAAACTCAATTATTTTCGTAAATAATAAAATTCTTTTTAGAAATTCAATTATTTTTATAAATAATAAAACTCTTTGCATATTAATTGAATTCTTGCAACGAATTTTATCAATTTTTTCAAAATAATTTAATTCTAGCGAACAATGGTATTATAATCATTTTAAATAATTGATTTTTTCGAAAAATTTTATGAAAACTGTATTTTAAAAAAGTAATTAAATTCCTGAAAAAATGTTATTATTTTTGAAAATAATTGAACATTTTATGTTTATGTTTAATTATTGTCAAAAATATTTTCGCAAAAATTAAAATATTTAAAACACAATTTTCATAAAATTTATCGAGAAAAATCATTTATTTAAAAAGATGTTTATAAAATTCTTCACAAGAATTCAATTTTTTTAATTTTATAAATAATAAAAATCGTTTCAAAGAATTCAATTATTTTCATAAATAATAAAAATCATAGCAGGATTTCAATTATTTTTAATTTTAATACAATTTTTAATAACTTACAAATTTTATATAAATTTCTTTGCAATAATTCAATTATTTTCACAAATAATAAACTTTTTTACAGGAATTCAATGATTTAAAACACAATTTTTATAAAATTGTTCGAAAAAGTCAATTATTTAAAAAGATTTTTATAAAATTCTTCGCAGTATTTCAATTGTTATTAATACAATTTTAAATGAATTCTTCATATCAAATTTTTACAGAAATTCAATTATTTTTTTGTAAATAATAATATTCATCTTAAGGATTCAATTATTTTCATAAATAATAAAACTCATTGCAAAATTTCAATTATTTTTAATAAAATTTTAATCGAATTCCTCAAAAAATGTATTTATTCTTAAAAATATAAAAATGTTATAGAAATTGGTTAAAAGAATTCAATTATTTAAAATGTTGTCGATAAAATTCTTTGTGAGAATTCAATTTTAAGCAACATTCAATTGTTCAATAAATTATTTATTTTTGTCTTTAAAAAATTGAATTTTCCTAAAGTTTTCTATTAAAAATTGATTTAAAAATGAATTAATGAATTAATTAGTTAAAATTTTTGATAATTGTCAATAAGTATTAAAAGCATTATATAGGGAATTTTTTTTAGAAATAATTGAATTTCGTAAAATAATATAATACCGTCAACAGGGGTAATTATGGAACATCAGAGGTATAAATATGGAACGCGTAATTCTTTTTTTTGTAAAATTATTTTAATTTGGTTCTTGTTGTAAATAATAGTTTAATATACTGCCTACAAAGTTACTCGGTTTTTTTTATTTTTATTGTCATTGGCAACGAGAAAATAATTATTAAACATCGAAAAAGTGGAAAGGTTATTTCACAAAAGTGTAAAAATTTACTAATTTCTTCGAATTAAATTCGCGTTTAGTTTACTATTATTATCTATTATTATTTTACTCTGCAGTACTAAATAAAGTTTTCTTAATATACAGACAAAAAAAAATTTGTTATACTTGCTTTTATAATTAATGATAATAATTTGTTCTATAATTGCCCGAAATGCGAGGCAATTATGGAGCAATATTTATGTTTAAATAACTCCGTCAAAAAATTTTTTTTTCTAAATGGAACTTGAAGGAAATCTTTAGAAGAATGTTCACAATATATTTGAATGGCTAATAAAATTTTTTTGTACACTTTAGATTTTTAGTGAAGAAGAAACTCAAAAAATCGCGTTTATTTTTTTGTTCCATAATTACCCCTGTTGACGATTAATCGATTAATTTGCGACGCTCCGAATAAAGATTTCTTCGGATCGCGTCACAATTTTATTTTCTGATTAGAAAATTAGAAAATTATTAGACTAAATATGAAAATCGAATATAATAAAAAAAAAGAAGAAGAAAAATTTGAAAATATAAAAAAAGAATATACGAGACACACTTTAATATTTCGGAACGACAAAATTGGCCGCGGTAAGTGCGGAGGGTGTAATCTCCCGTTAAGAATGAGGCGCGCAGATGGACTAATTGGAGTCATTCAGGGTGTCATTAACGCTGGTACTATCAACGTATCAACACAGTGATTTTGAAGCGCAATCTGTGCGAGGAGAAATCTTTTCATTGCTCAATGAGAGAAGGCGGCATATAATACAGTGTGAGACAGGTGTATGTGTGAGGTGACTTGAGAAAGAGTACAAGAGAGGGAGGAATAGGGTAATTCTAGTATAGGGTGGATGAGAGGAAACGGGTGCAAAGAGAGAGAGAGAGAGGAAGAGAGAAACTGTAGAACTGGTGTGAGTGGAAGTATGAAGTGAGCATATTACTATTGAGAATAAGTACCTGGCTTCGAGATGAGGCTGGTCGGGAACGAGACGGGGGGGAGTGATAACGGGTACAAATGGGGTGGTACAATGGGCACTAATGGATCTCAAGCCGCCGCGAGAGGCGCTGCTTTTAATCTAATTGTCCTCCGTAGCAGTCGCGAACTCGAACAGTGACTCTCAAATATCGCCATACAAGTATCGTTCGCATTTAGTGTGAGAGAAATCCACGTCAATCATATATAACGGAGCTCGAACCAATGGAACTAAAAACGGACTAAAAATTAAAAATTAGGGACCAATTATTGCCAAAAAAAAAAAAAATAATCGGTCAGATTCAAATAAGAGTAAATTTCACAAAACTATTTAATTAATTAAATTTTTTAATAACTATAGTTATTAAAAAATTTAATTTATAAATTATTTATTTTATATATAAAATAAATGAGATGACCGAGTGATAAAATCATTATTTTATATTACAAGAATATTGTTACTGCACAAAAAAAAATTTTTATTTGATTCAAATAACCGATTACTTGACTATATTATGAATCAAATACTTAATTGAATCAAATAATATTTATTGGAGATAATTAAAATATGTTATTTGCTTTGAATATTAAAATTATTGGTTCAAATATCATTTAATTGACTCAAATAAATATAATTTGATTCAAGTAAATATTTAATTGATATAATAATTAATAGTCAATTAATCGGTTATTTGATACAAATAAATTTTTTTTCTTTCATAATGTAATTATTTTTTAGCTTCAAAATTATTTTTATC